CCTTTTTTGTCTCCTTTTTTGTCTCCTTTTTATATATTAGCATTTATTATTTATTCAATAGGTATAGATGCATCTTTTTATGGTCTCCTTTGTCTCCTTCCCTTATTTCTATATAAGCAGCAATCTGCTGCTGCTGCTGCACTTATTAGCAGCAGATGTTTATCTTATTCTCTTCCTTTCTTGCTGCAGCAGCTAGCTAACCCTAGGAAGCTCGCGCTGCAGCAGCAAGTTGCTTCCTTATCTATTATTGGTTCTTGTCTTCTTGCTGCTGTTATTATTTCTCTTATCTTTGTACCTACGCAGCCATTCACGGTACTCATACAGCAGCAGCAACAGCAGCAGCAGCAGCAGCAGCAGCAGCAGCAGCAGCAGAGAGAGCAGCAGCAGCAGAAGGAAAAAGATCAGCACAAACACATGCTGCAGATTGAGGATAGGGAACTTCCTGTTCCTGCTGCTGCTGCAGCAAGAGATGCAACACCAATAGATGCACCAGCAACAACAACAGCAACAGCAGCAACAGCAGCAACAGCAGCAGCAGCAGCAGCAGCAGGAGACAGACTTACAACATCACGTATGAGTACACAGCAAGACAACAGTTCGCATGTTGTGTTGCAGTTAACACCGCACCAGGAAGAACAGCAGCAGCAGCAGCAGCAGCAACAGCAGCAGCAGCAACAGCAGCAGCAGGAAGAGGATATTGTTGATCATGAGTTGTGGGGTACAGATCTAGATTGCTGTACAACTGCAGCAGACCTTCTCTATCAGCAGCAGCAGCAGCAACAGCAACAGCAGCAGCAACAGCAGCAACAGCAGCAGCAGCAGCAGGAGCATAACCAAAGACAGGAAGATGATGATAATAATAAGGAAGACACCAACCAACAGCAACAACAACAGCAGCAACAGGAGCAGCAGCAACAGCAGCAACAAGAGCATGAAACACAGCAGCAACAGCAGCAACAGCAGCAACAGCAGCAACAGCAGCAACAGCAGCAGCAGGAGGAGGAGCATCAAGAGGAGGAGGAAGAAAAAAAAAAAAAAAAAAAAAAAAA